CCGCTACGCGCCTCCATTTTTATCACGCATATAATTCGCTGGAAGCATGAAAAACATATGAACCTTCATATATGTAAACAAAACATAAGTAAAAAACAAAAAAACATATGTAGAGGAAATCCCGCACTAGCTCAGTCACTCGTTTTATCTGAAGCTTCCTCCGAAGCAGATAAAAAGTTCCCAATTCATTAACAACTTTTATCCCACATGTTTTATACTTTAGGCCATCGATCGATCGCTCTGCTCCCCAACGTGTAGACTATCCGGTGAAACTTATGCTATTGAATTATCACTAATAGTCTACGGATTGAGCTCTGTTCGGCAAGGCCCAATGTTATATCTTCTCTTTTCCTACAGCGCTATCAACAGAGCTTTTCCAGAAAGTAAACACATATTTCAGTTCTTCGAGACTTGTGCTATGGAAAGAGTACTAGCAGTCTAAGAAAGGTGTTTGGCCAGCGAAATTCAAGCGAGATAAGAGAGAAAACGCGTGGTCTTGTGAATCATTTTGGTTTAGACCTAACAGCGCTATAAAAGCGTGATCTGGAAGACCGGCCACTTACGGTTCTGATCAGAGATTTGAGTTTTGAATGATTACTAACACCCATATGAAGCAGTGGTGAGGTCGAATATTCATTTGCCGCCGTCTAAAAGAAAAGTATCGAGTTTCATTTTGAATGTGAAGAACGTTTGTGGAAAGAATGTTTTGTAATGTAACAAATTTTACGAAAAGTTTGTACAAATGAAAAATGGCCATCGCTCCTACTTCTCTACCAAATCGTAACCATATTTTCTTAGCTCTCTGCTCTATATTTTATTAGATTATTACACGTACTCCGTCGGGAACCGCGTTTACCTCTTTCGTGGCAGATGGCGGCGCCCGCGCGGAGAGCGTTACGTGCTGCAATGACGATGTGGTAGTTCTCTACAGAGTTTTGGATTTTCATTGCGAGTTGAGAGAGTTTGGTCATTAGAAAATGGCAGAATATGATATAAGAAACTTTGACAAGGCTATTTTTTCATTCAAGATGCCAACACAACTACAAAATAATGAATTGTTTGTCAGCACCGATACGTCACATTGCAATGCGATGCCACTTTACGATGTTTTGGAGGAACTTTTTTTTATTAATGGACTTAGGTGTTGAGACTTCTTTAGAGGTGAAGAAGAGGCGTTATTTGATTGTGTTGTGTGTTAAAACTTTTTATACCCACTCATACCCAACTTTGAAAATTATTTTATCGCTGTAACTTTTATACACTGTCAATGCATCCTCCAACGCCCACGTATCTTTGAAGGGAAAACTACCACCTTACGAATAAACCATATTTCGAGCCGTTATAGGACATTTCATGCTATTTTACTTATATTGTCCATATTTCACTCATATCTATTCTTTGTTTATCATGTCAACAACAATTCGGCTTCATTCATTGCCACAATGGATAAGTCGTTAGATACTCCATTACCATATCATTTTTAGTTCTAAGATTAATTATTACGGCAAAACTCTTTCAATTTTTAGATTTTCATTCCATATATACTCAATAACCATCATAGTGCTCGAATATCAGAAATCAATGCATGGTTTAGCAAAAATGATGCTGCCTATTACATGCAATGCCTCCTTTTAAAACAACTAATCATTCTTTTCATAAAAAATACACTTATAGGAAGCCCTTCAGTGATATTTTATTTTTTTGTGGCAGTGAAGTCACGACCTCAGGCGGAAATCAAACCCGCGTTTTATCCTATCCGAGGACGCATGCTCTACCATTACACCACAGAGACACGTTTGCCCGACCACTCATTCTTCAGCATCTCTATGTGAGCAATCAGCCACTAACCTTTAACAGGTTTGGTCGAATATGCGATTTCGCTTTCTAAACTTAGTTAAGCTGAAAGCCATTTTGATAACTACTATTCGAAATTTCTAGTACCTTTACTGCACTTTTCGCAGTGTTATGATTAGTCACATATTCCTAAGAGAATTGAGTGGTGAGCAAATACACGTCCTCAGGCGGGAATCGCATCCACGTTCCATCCTATCCGAGGTCGTATTTACCAGAAATTGATTTTTTGCTGGAATATATAATTAGAAATTAATTAAAAATAGTAGAAAATTCGAATATTAGTTATAACAAGGGCTGTCAGCTCAACTGGGTAAATGGAGCGAAATCGCATACCCGACCAAGCCTGTTAAAGGTTGGTGGCTGATAGCTAACATAAAGATGTGGAAGAATGAGTGGTGGTGCAAATGTGCCTCGATGGGGTGGTTGTAGAGCACGTGTCCCCGAATTGGATGCAACGCGGGTTCGATTTCCGCCTGAGGCCGTGTTTTTGCTCACCACTCAATTCTCTTAGGGATATATGAATAATCATAACACTGAGAAAGGTGCAGTAAAAATACCAGAAATTTCGAATATTCTATAACAGTTCGAAACACTACCTTCTGAATATCTGGAGTTTTCCTTGAAAACAAGGTGCTAGGATAAAACATCGTCGTTCTTCGAATTGGCCTTCGAACCCCTTTCATAACAGTTGACTACTTACTGACGATGATTTTCTTTTATGACGGTAAATATCTGAATTTCACCACAAAACTACCACATTCTCATTGTAGCTTGCCGCGTGAGGCTCCTTTTTCAAAATTGCACGACCACTTTTTATTATTCTATTTGTCACATGTTACTGCAGGGACTTCAGAACATTTAGCACTATAGTCTTCCCCTAGCATTCATCTTGATATCCTGCTTCAGTAACGACCCTGCTACAGCTCCTACCTTCCTCCATCCTCTCATCCCCGTGACGTGGAATTAGAGTTAGTTGATTTTTTGGAATCGTTACATCATTGCGAACCAGTTGAGATTCCAATAAATCCACTCAGAAGAATTTTTTCAGTAGTGCAACCTGATCATCACTTCATTCTCCCATTATCGTTTAGCTTTGCTTAGCTGTACCATTATTCGTAAAATGTTTAGGGCGTAGACATAGACTTGGATACGCTCCTCAGTCTAGACACCGTACCAGCAAAGCGCAAATTCGTCTTTGTAAGTGGATTGTACTTTTTCAGAACATAGTTTCAGAACATAAAATTATCACTTTTAGATTTCTAGCCTGTCGTAGAGTCTCGATAGGGAAAACTTAATCCTATATATCTCAAATGTAGTATTCATTTCCTTTGTTACCAAATTTCTGTATCTTTAGGATCACCTCCAACGCAGTCATTGCCCAGCATCAATGGACAAGATAACAATGTTTTTAGATGAAATGATTGACCAGCTGAAAACACTGTAATTCCTTCAAGGCAGTTGTCCGTAATGACGATGTTTACTGTACAAAAGTGTTGTAAGCAGAAGTCTTGGATCAGTGCTAGCGATAAAAATTCCAGTAGAATGTAACGAGGATAAAAAGAACTGGGAGTTTATTCGTTATCATCACCCTGTTTCAGCCTCTTGGGAGAGACGCGTTTTTTGCTTTTTTTTGAGAGTCTCAATATTCATTCTTCACCTCAAATATCGTTGATTTCAGTGGTGTACTTCGTGTTCAAAACGGCCTTCTTTCAACCCTGACACAGTACAAATAAAAGTATGCTTGACATCTGGCCTTTTTTTTGCTGAACAGGACTTTTCTCCTGGATTTATAGTGCATTCAGTAGCGAAAATCTCGCCGATTGGTTGACTTGGAATACAAAGAGGACTTTTTATGTGCTGTATCTGCCCAAAGAAGGCTGGGCCTCGCATTCGGCCCGCTTTTCTTGTCAGCTAGGGTGTTTATAATATCCCGAAAGCGCTATGGTTTGATGCCAATTTACCCATCCACATATCGGAGCTCGAATGCGTATCTTGTGTGAAGTGCAGTTTTATTCTCAGTGTTACAGCGGAACAAAATTTTTTTTTTTGAAAAACCAAGTTGGAATTGAAATCGTTCAGATTTAAGCTATTAAATGGTTAATGAAAGTGTGGTGGAAAAGACCTATCACAAAAATGCCCGAGGGTTGAATATAATTTTTTTAATACCACAGCTTAGCAGAAAATCTTAGAAACAAAATATACCTTTGAAACTCTCGAGTTTTGAGCTATCAAATGGCTCTTGGAACTTTGAAGGAAAGCACAAAACGCTTTTTTTCAAAGAACCGGAACATGGTGAGGATAACGGAAATGATCCAAAAATTGTAACTATAATGAATGTTGTGATTTGTGAGTCACATGCTTTATGACTAGACAACTCTCCCCGGTCCGAATCCGCCTATTCTTTTGAATCACTGTTTTTTGAAGAATTGCCGTATTGGAACTTTAGATTTCACATCATTACGTTAATGGTGAGTGTATCGTAATGTACAAAAGTATATCAACTATCTTTGAATACAGTTTGACCTTGATAGACGAAATCTATGACTAACTCATTCACGTGCATCTTTACCGTACTCTGCAGTTTTTCTTCAACGGTTCGATAACATCAGTAGAGCTTTTTTCTATCAACTTGGAGTCTATCGTTGGCTTGTTGGGCACAGATGTTGTCTTAAGCGTGTCCAGTAAAAGGTTTTTTTCTGAAACTATAGAAAGGCTAGATACAAAATCAGATACTCAGGCATCACAAACTCTTCCGAAACCGTTGACAAAAATTTTTCCAAGAGGTATATTTGGTAAAGACAAATGGAGGTGGGTGAAGTAGAGGAAAACGAAATAAGATTCAGGCAATGCGCGAAAGTAAAGAAGCACGGTTCATCCAGCGAGACGCTATGGTGTTTCCTAATATATGGTATGTGTGTAAAACTACTGCGCTAATTTTGGCACCTTCAAATACCGAACTTGACTATCAACTTTCTTAGACAATTGATTTGACAAATGGGCTTGAAAGGACATCATATTTGAAGCGATACAGCATTGTCTTTCGTGTAACCTTGAGGAGTTCTAAATCACAACAATACTCAAGTGATTGAAAGACTGTCGTCAAATATCTGAAATGCAAGTTGGCCACGTAATGCTTTAAGGTTTCAGGCATCTAGTGCAATTGGTCAAACATACGCCCCCGGAAAGGGTGAAATGCGGGTTTGAGTCCCGCCTAATGTCAAAGTTTTGCGCGCACCCAACATTATTAGATTTGAGGTTTTATTAAACAATACTAGTTATTCAAACAGATTTCCTTGTTATTTTAACCGCTTCTAGCGGTGGTATCACCTGTATCACCTGTCGCCCCGTTGATCGTCGAGTGACTCGAGCGGGTACCAGCAACTCTTCCATTTTTTCCTATCGCGTGCAAGAGTAGCCCAGTGGGTCCTCCTTGCTCTAGGAATTCGCTGAGCATCATATCTTTCTTCCATCGCTTTCGTGAAGAAATCGGACCAACGGGTCAGTGGTCTTCCTTTAGAGCGCTTGACGTCCCGAGGAATCCAGTCGGTAACGGCTCTCGTCCATCGGTTGTCGTTGAAGCGCATCACGTGTCCGGCCCACCTTATTTTCGATATCCTGGCGTGTAGAACGGCGTCTCTGATTTTCGATCGTTGACGTAGGTCGGAAGTTCGGATCCCTTGTCTCATTTGCGAAATACGAGATACTCCTAGCATCGACCTTTCGACTGCGCGTTCGATAACGGCAAGTGATCTTTCATCCTGCTTACGTAGCGACCAGGTTTCTGCTGCATACGTTAGGGCAGGGATAATTGTCGAGTCGAAAAGGTGGGCACGGAGTCGGATGTTCTTCGTCCCTTTACTACAATTTCGATGCTCTTAAACGTTTCCCAAGCCGCTCGTTTCCTCCCGCTCAACTCTGGAGCTAGGTCGTTCATCATGTTGATTTCACGACCTAGATAGATGTAACTGGAGCATTCGGAAATTGTCGTTCCGTTGAGCGTGAATGGGGCATTAGAAACCCATCCGTTCCTCATGAACATTGTTTTCGTTAGATTCAGTTGAAGACCGATCTTTCCACAGGCGTTATCGAAATCAGTCAACATTCGTTCCGCTTGGCTGATGTTTGGTGTTATGAGAACGATATCGTCAGCAAGGCGAAGATGGTTTAATTGTCGACCGTCAATTTTCACTCCCATTTCGTCCCATTCTAATGTTCGCATGACGTTTTGTAGGGTGGCAGTGAATAGTTTTGGCGATATTGTATCGCCTTGTCGAACCCCTCTTCCTACGTCAATGGTGATATTGTTGTAGAATGGAGATATTCTGGTCGTGAAATCTTTATAAAGCTCACGAAGGATCATTATGTACCGAGTAGGGACACCTTGATTATCCAGAGCCTCTATAACCGCTTCTGTTTCCACTGAATCAAAGGCTTTTTTCAGATCGATAAAAGTGAGACAGAGTGGTTGTTTGTACTCTCGCGAAACTTCAATGAGTCTTGTGATCGTGTGGATGTGGTCCATGGTACTAGCGGTGGTACGATGTAGTAAATATACCCAATGATGTAGAGTGATGTGAGAAAAACTCGAGCCCAGATAGGATGAAATGTGAGTTCGAGTCCCAACTGACGCAAAAGTTTTGCACATCACTCTACATCAATGAGAATGCTAGTTCGAATCAAATTATTAATAAAGGAGCGTAATTGTGGATTTAGGTTCTGCACGGTAAACTGCAAAGTAAGCTAGCCTTCGATGTTGTCCCAAAAAATTTTGAGCAATTGAAATAATATCTAGTGCGTTGATCTTTCCACTTCAAATATATTTTAGATAGAACAACACTGTACTAAAGGCATTTTGTTCTCTGCATTCTGAAGAACATGAGCATTTTACTAGTAATTGGCTCCGGCGAATATTGCATTGATATTGAAGCCGTAAGTTACTTGGACGGCCCAACCTAGCTTTGAAGTGATTCCACCAAGCCCCAATCTCACCAAGCTCATTCTTCCTAAGACGGTTAATCGGTAGTAGACTTACCTGGGACTAGCTAATCTTAACATAGAGTGGAGGAATCCTCAAATTGTGGCCGATTATATGTGAGAAGTTTGGAGATCTTCATGGATGGTGGAAGTGAGGAACCCAATCGCAAGAAATGCTGAGGTGCACAGAATGTGATACATGTGATTTCGGGTAATGTATAATAGAAAGAACAGTTAGAGCGTTAGTGTTCGCATGCTGTCAGACACAGAACTTAGAGACTTTTCCAAAAATTTTCAGTTGTTTTTGATTCGAGTTTGCCACCTTTCTCCTATGGCTAGTCGCTATTGGCGCATTGTGGTTACGGGGCTCGAAAGACCGAGTCGTCATGGTTAACACGAGCTTTGAATTACAAAGACGTATTTGAGAACTATTTGTGACATACGAGAATTACCTTTTTGTCCACTTTGTGCATGTATTTTGAAGAACTGATAACAGATTTAAAAAACTTTCAATGCACAGGAGGTGGGCATGAATGCTTGTTTATTTATCTGATGATTATTTCTTTCCATAGTTCTATTTAGTGGTCTAACAGCAAACTGATCCATGGCATCGACTGCTTTCAAAACCTTGCTAAAGGCATTCAACATAAATTTATAAGAATGTTCAAAGCTTCACCCGATATTCGCACGTCAGGGCTAACACGCGTATTTCGGAGGTCTCGACCCCCTTGTCAGTAGCCCACGCCCCACATTAAGCCCTGCATTGTAGCAAGGAGGTAGGCGTATGCGGTGACGATACAGCGTACAATAACACTGTGCCATCACCATATCTCAGTCGATGGATCTTGGGTGATAGAACACAATTGATCCATGGCAATAACTGTTTTAGAAGCTTCGCAATAAACATTCAATGATAAAAAAAGTATGTTCAAAGCCTAAGCGAGGTTGGTAACCCCTCCTTGCTATAGTGCAGGGCTTAATGTGGGGCTTGAGCGACTGACGAGAGAGGGAGACCTCCGAAACATGCGTGTATAGCTCTGGCGTACCAACCTCGGGTAAGACTTCAAAACACTCTTAAAAATTTATATTGAGTTCTTATTGCGAGATTTTTAGAAGCAGTCGATGCCATGGATCAATTTCGTGCCTACAAGCCGTGATCCATCGACTGAAAAGTGATATGGCACAGTGTACAATACCACTGTGCCGTCACCAGATACGCCTCCCTCCTTGCTGCAATGCACGGATTAATATGCGGCGTGGGCTACTGATGAGGGGGGCGAGACCTCCGAAGCACGCGTGTATAGCCCTGGCGTACCGACCTCTGTAAGGCTTCAAGCATTCTTAGAGAATTATAACAGCCATCTGCTTATTTTTTTTTTACCGTATTGGCATCAAGAGATTTGTGTCGTCACTAAGGTATGGTGTAAAGGAAGTTATTGGCTCTTTTTTTGAACCTCATTTATCCTCCGTATCAAAATGGTTTCTTTCTTATTCTATTAAACAAGCATTGACAATGAGAATGAAGGCGATTGCTACATTGTCAGATTATACAAAAAGTTCCATTAAACAAGAAAAAAGTTGTTTGACAAGTTTGACCACTTTTGAATGCTGAAACGCACATTTGTTTTTGGTGCTTGTCTCTTTAGTAGTTATTTTATTTGGCTTTTACTGACATAATCCAGTCAAATTGCTAACTCTCCTTTCTGTCTTGATGAGCATATATTCTTTGATGATTAAGCCAACAGCACGAAGTTGTTGAAAACAAGTTTTTTCGGCCAACGTTTCGAAGTCTTCGTTTTGTTCAGAGCCAATGATTTGAGTTGATTCTTCAGAGTCATTCGACCTCGGCTTGTTCCCAACGTTTCGCTCCGTATATACCAATTTCAAGACACCCGCTCTGCCTCAAAATGTAAAGACCCGTACGCTGACTTAATAACTGAGCAAAAATTACAAGGCACCAGAAGTTTTTTTATCCGCTGCACAATGCACTACGATCAAACAATATAATTTACAGCACGGATTATAGAGTAATGATCTATAGAAGCAAGTTTGTAAAATCTTTTTTATTACTGATTTCTCAATGATGATTGATTTCTGCACTGCACACATGAGGATTTGAACGGTTTCAATAGTGGCCAGGGTCGTTGTGAGCCATGATCTCGCGAATGTACTAAGCTAATTTCTCAGATTGGAAAGGCGCTTTACAGATTTTGGTGAGGAGATTTATTCATCAACAAGAATGGAGTGTTTTCGAGTGTTCATCACTTAGTTTACACAGGCATATTTCATATGACCGCCAGTTTTGGTCCTTGCTAAAACAACTTATTGGAGTGTTTTGCATAACAAAATGTCCGGTCACATCAATTTGTCCAAATTTCAGCGACAAAAATCGCTTCTGAACAGAATCATAGAACAAATGAGAAAATCGAGCAACAGGAATAACACTGCTGAAATTTGCAGTCACTGAATTCGCACTTGCTGCTGAATAAACGATAGGCACTGCTTCGTTTCCCTCTATGATTTTCAAAAGTCTATTAAAACGTTGTTTCAGCACATATTCGCTATCGCCACGTTCAATGGCTTAATTTTTTAGGTTAAAATGCTCCATAACTACACAATTCCATTCTTAGCAGACATTATTCTCCGTAGAGAAAACCGTTGTGCAAAGAACGACATAAGCTTCTTTGGTTTATCTATTGGCGCCCTTCAGTTAACGTATATTTGTTGACATTCCTTGATGTGTTATTTTCATGGCTTTCTATATTTGTTATAGACAAGAATACTACTGCTTCAATTTCGGTGGTTGCTGCTGTAGAGTTTCCGTTGCGTTCTTTCATTGATTCACGCCACTATTTGAAGATATGTATATGCAAGGCTGTTTTCCGTTTGATAGCACATAATTACAAGCTTATCCCTTACGGTGGACGGGAATTTTCCACAAAGAGTGTCAGTAATCATTCCAAAGCTTGAATCTCTAGCTAGCGCCGTATTTCGTCGGTTTTTCAGAATGACGCTTTTATACCGCTGTAAAGTTCAAGATCAAATTATGTTTCACATCGGCCGCGCAATTCAGTTATTACTTGCCTTCAAATACGAAAAGCACATTGACGTGTATAGAACATCTTTTAGCATCACAGTCAAACGTTTGGTCTGGAGTTTCTTCCAGAGAGGAAAAATAATTACTAATCAGATAACAAAAACTGCACTTCACATAGGCGCCATCAATCAATGATCGTGTCAACACCT